ACTACTTCTTTTGTGCTAAAAAAATGTGATCTACAGTATGTGTTGTCACTTGTAGTAGGTTTAAAAATGTATATATTTTATTGAAAAAAACTGAAAATGGGTGCCCTAAATTCGCCAAAAATAGAATGGGCCAGCCTCGTACCACCGAATGTCATCAAAAAAAGTTTGTAGCTCATAATCATTTTATAGTTCCACTCGACATGCATGTGACGTGTATGTGCTTGAGGTTCAAAGGATTAAGGTTTCTTAATCTTGTTGGATGATGTTCTCAAATAAAGATAATGGTTCTCGATGTTAATATAATTAACTACATTTAATAAGTGCATAATCAATGTTCATGGACCAATAAGGCTTGACCTGCTCTTATATCTAGTAATAAATACTTATATCATAGTCGAAACATTTTGACATGATTCACAAAATGTGACTGGTCGGTGATGAGCCAGACATCATGTGTGAAAATAATCAAAAGCGATTGAATTCGTCAATAATACTGCTGTGATTAAAATTTCAAATCTCTAACATGAATGTGCAAATCTAAGTAATAATATGGTGATTAATCAATTGGCACTACAACAATTATGGTCTAACGCCACACTAGTTTTAGACAACGCCTGAAAAGTGTGCCCAAAAATATATTTGGGCACACTTTTAAGGGGTGGCCTTTGTATGGAGCTTTTGGATACGGAAAATTTGGCTACGCTTGTTAAATGTGCTCTTTAATTTATTAGGCCACCCTTATTAAACGTTGCTAAATCATAAAATAATTGGCAATATTTATTTGAGTATGTGGCACTCTTTTTAAGCGTGTTTTTAATATAATTGAAAAAGCAATACTTTATAAATGTGCTCTAAAAGTCCAACAAAATATTTGGCTAAAGTATAATATTCCCTCCAAAAAATATAATGTTCCCTCCAATATACTCTAGGTCTAGGTGAAATATTAATTTTTCAATTTCAGAAGGACAAAAAGATCTCTCCTCGCTAAAATCGATGTTGATACATTAGTTAGGGTTTCTGGCTTCTAGTGTGGAGACTGACAAATCGGGAATTTCTGCACCGGCCGGGAACTTACTCTTAGTTTCTGCACCGGGAAGATTAATTAGGTACTATTAATTTCGCACCATCTCACCCTACTTTGGGTAGTGATTTTGTTTCAAACTATTGTCTCAAAGGAAGAATTCCCGTTTCCCCTTTCTCTTAGGTACTGTTTTTCACCTTCTAGCCCTCCTCGTTCCAGATTGAAGAAATTTATAAAGCTAGAGAAACGGGTAATTCTTCCAATCTCAGGTTTGGTGCTCTTCTATTTCAATATTTTACCATCTTATGGTCTCTGATTGCTGTAGTTTCATATCTAATTTGATCATTATTCCAGAAAAGAATGAACTATAAATTAATTATTCCTCTTCTAGTCTCCAAGATTAGTAATTTATTTTAAAATCCTAGCAGATTTGTGAGCCTAATTCTACAAATCGGCTTTGTTATCTTTTGATTGTCCTATTCCTGCTGATTAATCTGACGTACAGTACGTCTTAGGCTGATTTATTCTTTTACCATGTCAGTCGCGCCTCAGAATACCAGAAGTGTCTGGTACATCATTCATTCTTTTGAATATTTGAGATTTCTTAGTGATATTTGGGGGGGAGGAGCGGAGGAAGGTGTATGGGTTTTGCTCGTCATTTGCTCCAGTCATTTGCTCGTCAACAGTAACAAGAGCAAAATCTGTTTTTGATTGAGCATCTGCATTCTTTGTGACCTGTTGTTGCTTTTCACTACCTTAAGAGTTTGACAGCCTAGTTGCTGAAGCTAAATCTTGATCAACCTGTTGTATGTTCTTCGCACCATCATTATTCACATTGCTAGAGAGACAAATTGCTCTCAGTAGAAGCAAATTAAAGAAATAGTTTTAGCAGTTGATCACCTATGTTCATTTGACATATTTTTGTCTTTGTACATTTAAAGAATCTAATTCTTTTTTAGCCAAGTCTTCCCCGGACAGATATTTAATAGTATTTGATTTTGATCGATCAACAGTCAACTAAATACTAATCCTCAATTAGTTGGGGTTGGCTATATGAATCCTATGTATTCATTCTGTGGTCGGACCTACTTCCCTCCAGTACTAGAATACCAGTCCCAGTTCTATACTTTTACTATTTCATTGTGTTTTTGTTGCTAAAGATCCTCTTTGTAGATGATAATATCTGTTGAGAATGGGATGAGTTGACATGAGGTAGTTAGTTGTACAGTTAGTTGGATAACAAATTATTCTTAGCTGAATTAGTGGAGTCATTAGCAGTCACTCAGTTGTAGCTTAGAGTAAGCATCAAAAGGATTTGAACTTTTTCGCGCACCTGGACTGTCTCTTGCAATCTGCAGCAGTTTTTTGCTGTTTGGAGTGCCTTTTTTGCTGGAAACTGTTGTCCAGTTATCCGTAATAATATGCTGCCCAGCTTCCTTTGTAACTTGTCCAGCATTAGTAGTTTTTGAAGCAATTTCAGCTGGAACTAAGGCAGCAGTAGATACATCTACATCAGTTGTACCTATAGAAACAGTTACACCAGTTGTATCCACAGCATTAGCTGCCTTTAAAATTAAACTCCCATCCTTTGAATCTGATGCTCCAACTTGTTGTTTAACACCAATTGCAGCATTAGGATTGGCAATCCCAACAGAATGTCTATCGACAGTTGCCCCCAGCTTAGAATCAACCGTAGTTGTTTCTTGTCCAGCATCAACTGCTACTGTTGCATGCTTAGCACTGGTTGCTCCATCAGTTCCAACCCTTGATGCATCAGTTGCATCCTTTGTATCTCTAGGAGTTTTATATGGTCCTCCACCCTTAGTTCTCTCAATTAGCTGCACCTCAAGATCATTCTGCCCAAAACCTGCTACATCCTCTTCCCCTAACGTAATAGTAGACCAGTTCCCACAACATCAGGACTTTTCAAGGCTTCCTGTAAATTTGTTCGAACTCCTGTAGAATCTACATTATCAAGTCGATTTTGCCCGGCCTACAGTTTTTGGTTAGCAGCAAACTGCCCAGCAACATCTACTATAGCCATAGCATCACTTGGCTTGTCATTAGTAACCACATCTCCTGCTACTGTTCCTTTATCACTGCCATTCCCTCAACCATTCAACACCCTATTTCCTGCTTTCATAACCATATCTTGAGACACCCTAGCTAAAGCACGATCGACAGGAACAATAGCAACATTCATTGATATCACAGAGTTGTTTAAAATCTGTTGCTGCCCATTATTTTTGGTACCCTCTGAATTTAAAACCATTGTTTGACCAGCTCTTTTTGCATTAAGGTATTCCCTAGCATCGCCTTGTAGTTTTTCCATAACTGAAACATATGCCTCGACTAAACCACGATCACCTTGAGACGATGCCCCTGTTTTTTCCTCTACCACCACATCCGTTCCAGCTTGTTCTTTCATAATTTGACACACCTTTTCGTCATGTCCTTGATGCTTGCAATAAGTGCAATATTTAGAAAGATTGTCATACACCACCTCCTGATATATCCAGTTGATCTAGATAAAAACTAAACATAATTATTGAAGAGATCAAATCTGATCAAAAGATGACGAAACTCCAGCACTCCAATATTGCAGCGACCTTGAACATCGAATTGCGACGAAAATATTTTTCTGAATTCCTGTAACTCAGGTTTTCCATATGAGAATTTCATTACAACTGCTTCATGCAGTCCTTCTTATTTTATAAACTCGTTAACCTCATCCATGGTGAACTCTACAGTTGGCTCCCCATGATCAAAAGTTACTGGGTATAATTCAAACTTTGCGGCAGAATTTTTTTGCAACAGTTGTGATGCGTAGGACTGTTTTGTATTATGATTAGGGGCTGTTTGTTGATTGTTTTGGTTTGCCTCTCCATGGTAAAATAATTATTTTTTGAGTACAAGAGTTCATATATCTTAGTTATTTATGGTTGCAAATTGTTCTGTCAAAATGTAATGTGGTAAATTGTTCTATCAAAGTTTCCTTTTAGTAATTTTAAAATATGACTAGTTCTGGAGTTTATTCTTTTGAGTTGAAGAAATGAGAAATAGCTAGTTATATTTTTATATCTTAACTTCTTTTAATTATATAATATTTGTACGAACAAAACACATTTTAGGTGTCACTATACTTGCCAAGGTGCACATGAAGCTTTTTGGTGCGCAGAACTATTATATTATCTTCATGAAAAACGTGGTTTAGAATTTTATTACTTTCTGTCTTTGTTTTGTGGATCCTAGTTTTACCTTTTTTTTATCCAAGAAGACAAGTCACACTCGGGAAGATTTGTGGTGGACTTAAAGTTGTATTTGGCTTAGCTTAAGTGTCATGTCTAGGTAAGAAAGTCCTATCATTTTACAACACATGATTTTACAGATTTATTCTTGACATTTAGGATTTAGTTTTACCATATAATTAATGCTTAAATGATTATATATTTGAAGATCTAATAAATTTTATTTTTAGGAATTCAAATGTTCCATCCAAGGCGAAGAAATTCAATGCCCATGTGCAAAGTGTTGTAATATTTGTTGGACTCGAAGGAATGTAGTGTATGACCATCTAATATATTATGGGTTTGTTCAAGGTTATACAAGATGGATTAATCATGGGGAATGGGAAATTTCGATGAATGCTAATTGTGACATGGGTGATAATGTTTACTCGTACGATGATATTGATGGGTTGTTGAATGATCAATTTAGAAATGTTTCACATGCTGGAGGAGTGTATGAAGGCCCAAATGAAGATGCCAATAAATTCTATAACTTAGTTGACGAGGCAAGCCAAGAACTATATCCTGGTTGTAAAGGATTCTCTAGATTATCTTTTACAATCCGTCTGTATTTGTTGAAGTGTCTACATGGATGGAGCAATGCGTCTTTCACTTCTCTTTTAGAGCTATTAAAAGAGGCGATGCCTGACTTGAACATTCCTATATCCTACAATAAATCCAAATCTATGGTAAAGGATCTCGGTCTTGATTATGAAAAAATTGATGCATGTCCCAATGATTGCATGCTATTTAGGAATGACCATAAGGATGATGAATATTGTCATGTTTGTGGATCATCTCGATATATTAAATATCCTGAAGTAGATAGCGATGAAGTAGATAACGATCTTGAGGCTTCAAAAAAAGGTTATCGTGTTCCAGCAAAAATTTTGAGACACTTTCCATTAATTCCTAGACTTAAAAGGCTATTTATGTGCTCAAAGACAGCAGATACATTGAAGTGGCATGACGAGGAGCGTTCTAAAGATGGAAAGTTAAGGCATCCTGCTGATGGGCAAGCATGGAAAGACTTTGATAGCTTGCATTCAGAATTTGCAAGGGATTCTCGCAATTTGAGACCCTGCTTAACAAGTGATGGGTTCAATCCATTTCGGACCATGAGCATATCTCATAGCACATGGCCAGTTATTTTAATGGTGTATAATTTGCCTCCTTGTATGTGCATGAAGCCAGAGTACTGTATGCTTTCTTTGCTTATACCTGGGCCACGATCACCTGGAAATGACATTGACGTTTATTTACAACCATTAATAGAAGAGTTAAATGTTTTGTGGGAGTCTGGGGTAGAAACATATGATGCTTCAAGAGATCAAACCTTTCAAATGCGAGCAGCTCTTTTATGGACAATAAGTGACTTTCCTGCATATGCTATGTTATCCGGTTGGAGTACAAAGGGAAAGTTGGCTTGCCCTTGTTGTAATTATGGCACTAATTATTGTTATCTTAAACATAGTCGAAAAATGTGTTATATGGATAATCGTGTTTTTCTGCCTATTGATCATCCTTGGAGATCTAATAAAAGGTATTTCAATGGAAAAATAAAATTTAGGCCTCCTCCGCCTTTGTTAAAGGGAATTGATGTGCTTAATAGCTTACAGAATTTTAACAATGTGTTTGGGAAGAAGCGAAAGAGAACAAATGATGGCCCTTGGAAAAAAAGGTCATTTTTTTTTGAATTACCTTATTGGCAGCACAACTCGTTACGTCATAACCTTGACGTAATGCATATAGAGAAAAATATAGTGGATAATGTAATTGGAACTATTTTGGACATTCCTGGCAGGACAAAAGATCATGCAAATGCTCGTTATGATCTGAAAGAGATGGGCATTAGGAAGAACTTTCAACCAAAGGATACAAAGGATGGCAAGAGAACAAAGTTTGCAAAAGCATGCTTCTCAATGACCAATGGTGAGAAATTAGTTTTCTGTGGTGTTTTAAAGACAGCAAAGCTACCTGATGGTAGTGCTTCCAACATATCCAGGTGTGTGCAGCTAGATGAAAGAAAATTATCCGGTTATAGAACCCATGATGCCCACTTCATGTTACATTACTTGTTGCCAATACCAGTTAAAAGCATACTTCCTGATCATGTTGCTATCCCTTTGATTCGTCTAAGTTCTTTCTTTCGCCGTTTATGTCAAAAAGTTATCACAATGGAAGAGCTAGATTGCTTGGAAGTAGAGATTAGAGAAACAACGAATCAATTGGAAAGAATTTTTCCTCCAACTTTTTTTGATATAATGATTCATTTGGCAAATGAGGTAAGGTTGGGAGGTCCAGTTCAAAATCGATGGATGTATCCTCCTGAAAGGTATATGTGTACATTAAAATCATATGTTCGCAACAGAAATTATCCAGAAGGATCTATTGCTGAGGCATATTTGGTTGAAGAGTGTTTGACTTTATGCTCTAGGTACTTACATGGAGGTGTAAAGACTCGATTTAATCGACGACCCCGAAACAATGATGAATATGATTCAATTAATGCACAATCTTCTAGTTTGTTCCCTAATACAGGTTGTCCTTTAGGAGCAAAAAAGAGTGATCCAATTGTTTTAGATGACATGTCACTAAATCAGGCACATATATACTTATTGAACAATTGTGATGAAGTTCAAGAATATATAAGGTAATTTAATCACTTATAGCATTTATTTGTGTGGATTGTTATTAAATTACTTTATTTATCATTTTACTAACAAATAAAAATACTTGTTGTGTAGAGAATATGAGGTTGAGGTTAGTAATCAGAGACGAGGATCTAAATGGAGCAAGGCCAAGAAGTATAGTCAAAACTTCTCTCAATGGTTTGAAACTCGTTCTTTGAAAGAGGATGTGCCCGATCTTATAAAGCAATTATCCTTCGGACCAAATTCAATTGCTAAAAGATATTCTGGGTATCTCATTAATGGATATAGATTCCATGCGAGGCAGCGTGATGCAAGACGTAAAACACAAAATAGTGGTGTTACATTAGTCGCTCAAACTACAAGTTTTGCAAGCTCAAAAGATAAAAATCCAGTTGACGCAAATTTGACTTATTATGGTAGAATAGTTGATATAGTTGAGTTAGACTATTATGGACATTTTAGGGTTGTCTTATTTAAGTGTGACTGGTATGAGGTTGAAGAAGATATTTATGGCCTTACTTATGTCTACTTCAACAAGAAATGTTATCAGAACGAGCCTTTTGTCCTAGCATCTCAAGTACACCAATGCTTCTATGTGCAAGATCCATATGATCAAGATAGATATTATGTCATGAAGACTGTCCCGAGAGACTTGTTTAGCATAAGTGATGAACTTGAAGCTAATGCCCCACAATGTTATGAAAATGAGCCATCTGAATATTTGGCTGGCCCATCGATACCGGAGGATAATGGTGAAGTTGCCTTAGTAAGGAGTGATGTTCCAGCAACCATTCTTGATGTACCTCCTGAAGGATTTCTAGCACACCAACTTGAAATTGAATCGGATGAAGAGTTTGATTTTGAAGACACATCATGAGTTTTCTTTCTAATTCAAAAAGAAAATAGCTTAGCCATTTTTTTATTAATAGCTAGACACACATTAAAGACCGTTGCTTTAGTTTTAAATTGATGTTGTATATTTCCTCAAGTTCAATATTGAATATTTTCTTGCTTATCGATTTCTTTGATGTGCACATATATTTTATTGCTCATGTATTTTTAATGTGTCCCTTTTGGTATCACTAGAAATTACTTGATTGGTTATTTAATGTGACCCTTCTAAGGAACCGTATTGTATTATATGTGGATCGAGAATTTGTCCTCTAGTTTTGAATAGAGAAGTGAACGTGAGTAAGTAGAAATTATGCTTTAGAATTTGTAGTGTACTATTACCTGGAGTATTGGAGCAAGTTTTAAAGTATATACATATTTGTTTTTTATTATCAGGTGGTGCACACGCAACTAAAGAAGATATTGGACTAACAAATTTTAAGGAACCAAGTGATATTGAACAGGTATCTTTGTAACTTTGTTCATTTATATATGCTCTGGAATTGTTTATTCTTCCCCATTTCTCGGCAGCTTCCATAAACTTTGTAGCTTTAATCTCGGGGGTTTCTCCCATCTGACCATTTCTACTGAAACTTTTGGTTAATATCTTCTGCTCATTTGAATAAGTTAGTTTGTCCAATATTTTGATTCCACCACAGCAACACATTGAAACAATGAGTCTCTTTTGAGCCTAATATGAGCCTTACTGGTGTCTGGCAGAGGGGTACAGAATGACGTTTGTGCAAAGCCCCCCACCTCGACCCCCCCACCCCCGGTGTTAGCTGTTGCTATAGATAACTATCATGCGCCGAAATTTACCTTCATTGCTGAAGGAATATCGTATGAAAAAAGAACAAAAATATAGTGAACTATGATAGCTCATATGTGGCTTCAGCAAGTGAAGTAGTAACATTAGGAGTACATTCCCCATGCCTCAGTTGCATATTCTGTCCAGTTCCCATATTTATTGTCGAAATAATCATTGTAGTCTATTGTGAACACCAGCTTGTAATTCTTAAAGTAGGAAAAGGAAACAAACATAACTGTTCTGCAGCATCGTGAACATGCTTCAGTTCAGTATAGGTTTCTTGTTAATCCCAGGTTATGCATGACGATGACAGAATGCACAATTCCATCCTCCATATTCTGTAATTGTTGGAAACGTATCAGGTACACAAAAGCGATCGCTTTCCCTAAAAAAGCGAGAAGCGAGGAAGCGAGCAAAGTGACAGAAGCGAGCGCTTCTCTTTATAGCTGGGCTGCCAACGTTAATTAATTAAAAAAGCTCTCTTTTTTTAACATCAAGATCATCAAGTTTTGTCCCAGGTATGTGATTTCTTCCTCCTCCCCCTTGTGACGACCCGACCCGTCGTCTCATGTATTACAGCCCCGTTTCCCCCATTTACTGCTTCTTCATGTTTCATTATCAGCAACGAGTGAGTTATAGTTGAATTGAATTGGTTTGGATAGGAAATGAGACACTTAGTCTCTTTAAGGAAGGCTTAAGTTGGAAAGGTCAACCGGACATTGACTTATGAGTTAGAAGGCTCGGATGTGATTTCCGGTGATTCGGTTAGCTTCGGGGGATGATTTGTGACTTGGGAGTGCGATCGGAATTGATTTTGGAGGCCCGATGTAGAATTAGGCTTGAATTGGCGAGGTTAGTATTTTGGCGAATTCCGGTGGATGGGTGAGAATTTGATCCGGGGGTCGGAATGGAATTCCGAGAGTTACTGTAGCTTCGTTAGGTAATTTTGGATATGTGTGCAAAATTTCAGGTCATTCGGAGGTGTTTTGGTCGGGTTTTTGATCGAATGCGTAATTCGGAAGTTTTTAAGAAACTTAGGCTTGAATTCGATGTGATTTGATGGCTTTAGCGTTGTTTGATGTGGTTTGATGATGGGAACAAGTTTGAATGAGGTTTTAGGATGTATTGGTGTTTTTGGTTGAGGTCCCGGGGGCCTCGGGGTGAATTCAGGTGGTTAAACAGAGAATTCGGAGTTTGTTGCAGGTTTGAAGTTGCTGGTTCTGTCATTTCCGCATCTGCGGAAAAGGGACCGCATAAGCGGTTCCGCAGATGCGGCGTATTGGTCGCAGAAGCGGTCCTTGAGGGACCAGGGCTTTCCGCAGAAGCGGACGAAGTTCCGCAAAAGCGGTCACCGCAGAAGCGGTTTTGGGACCGCAGAAGCGGTCCTGGGCGACTTGAAGGAAAACCGCAGATGCGGTGAGTAAGCCGCAGAAACGGAAACCGCGAAAGCGGTGAAATTGTCGCAGAAGCGAAAACAACTGTTACAGAAGGGTTTTTTTTATATTGTTATCATCCGCGAACAAGAGTTGGTTTCCACCATTTTAAAGCGGTTTTAAGAGCTTTGTGCGAGAATTTTCGAGGGCTTTGACTGAGAATCAATTGAAGGTAAGTTCCTTGGTCTAAATATTCGAGTTTATGGTAGAAATTACATGTATATTGTGGAAAATTCATCAAAAACGGGTCAAGCTAGGGCTTGAAAAGTTGTGATGTAAAAACGGATTTTGAAAGGGCATTTGAACTCCGATTTTGGTAAAATTGGTATGTGTAGACTCGTGGCGAGACGAGGAATCCAGTGATGTAAATTTCGTAATTTTTTGAGAAGTGGGCCCGGGGCTCGGGTTTTGCCAACTTAGTGAATTTTGGTATTTTTCGAGTCTTTTCGATTGGGTTATATTTCTTTAGCCTATTGTAATGTATTCGTTGTGGTTTTAATCAGATTCGGCGTGCGAAGAGGTTGATTCGAAAGGCAAAGGCATAGCGAGCTAGACTTGTGGCCGGCTTGAGGTGAGTAATAGATTTAGATGATGACCTGAGGGTTTGAAACCCCGGTATATCACATTGTGACGCTATATTGAGGCAAGACACGTACTCTATGACGAGTGCGGGGTCGATTGTGACTAGGGATTGTGACCTAGTCCGTTCCGATTGATGTTCGTACCGTGTTCTTGACTAGAAATTGTTTGGTAATCATCCTACTTGGATTTTATGAATATGTTTGGGGCTTTGTGCCTATCATTTGCATCCTTCAGGGATCCTTATCACTGCTTCCATGATGCTTAGCATATTCATGATATCAGTCCTGAGTTAGACTCTGCCTCGAAATGTTTAGTAAATAAATAAAGGTTTAAACACTTAGCTCTATATTTCCTAATAATTGAAACTAAAAATGAACAATTTGACTGTGCCCGAGTGGCTTGCATGCGTATGTATATCTGGACTGA